AAAAAATATGTCAATCCTTAATTACAAATTTTTTTGCAAATGTTTTTTATTATAAATTCAGTAAAAACTCTTTAAAAATATATATTACAAAAAATATTTATATTCTGTATTAATAAATATGGAATATAGATTTTTTTAAAGTTTTTTTACTGAAAACTTTAAAAAATTACTACTTTTTATTAAAAACATTGCAAAAAATTTTTAGTTAAGGATTGACGATGAATTTTTCATGTTGCTAAATATTTGGATAAAAAGTTTAGCGTAAAATTAACTATAAAAAGGTAAGATATATTGCAATGAAAAGTTACAAGAGTTATTTTTAACGTAAATTCTTTTTTGTAATAAATATCTTTACATATCGTTTAAAAATTAATGTGTTTTTTTAAAAATTAATTACTTCTTTTATGTTACCGCTAATTTAAAAGTTAACAAATGATAAAAAGTAGCTTAACCAAAACAGCTTTTCGCATATGTAGAAATCGCTTAAGGCGTACGTAAATCGCTCTAGGCGTAGCGCTTTAAAACTAGGCCTATATATATATATATATATATATATATATATATATATATATATATATATATATATAATCAGCTGACAGGTGACAGCACACAGGCAGAATTTCGTTGACAAGTGCCATTTTGCAGTGTCAAAACAAGTGCAGCTTTTTTGTTTTTTTTTCATTTTCTTAGGTCTGGTCCATGTCAATGTCACGGAAGTTTTTTAATAATTAAAGGAAGTATCCAGAAGTTTTCAGAAGCATGCAGAAGCTTCCAGAAGCATGCAGAAGCATCGAAAAGAAGCATCTAGAATCTTCAAGAACAGGTTCACACAGGTTCATTTTACTATATAAGAGACATGTAAACCGACATGTAGTTCAGTCAGTATATGGAAGTCTATCAGTCAGTATTATCAAGACAGTTTATTGAAGAAAGTTTTATCAAAGTGTTTTATTAAAGTGTTTTATTAAAGAACATCAATACAAGAAGTGAAATACAACAAGTGTTTCATTACATCAATACAGTCCACATCCAACCAAGACGTTGTGTTCCACAGAGCATTATTGTATCATCACAAGGTAAATGTAACACAGTAAGCCTTAAGAAGCGTGATTATTTATTTTTGTTATTTTTATGACTTCAAGTGCAAAAATGGCTCCCGACAGTCTTGGATTGGAACTAAGAAAGAAAATTTTTGGCGAATACATATGTGGAATGTCACAAAAAAGTATTTGTGATAAATATCGTGTGAAAAATGGACCATATCAAGACTATGTTCCAAATATCGTTCTATGGGGAAGTTGGCAGCAGATAACAAAGGTAAAAGGCTGCGTTCCACCACTTCTAGAGAGGATTCTATGATCGTCAGATCCATCAAGAAGGTTCCCTGGATATTATCAGTCAAGATACAAAAGCAATTAGACCTGCCTGTATCGGACCAAACAATCAGACAACGTGCTGTTAAAGCCGGATTGTTTTCTCAACGCTCTGCAAAGAAACCGCTGATTTCACTAAAGAACCAGAGGAAAAGATTCCTGTTTGCTACATCTCATATTGACTGGAATGTGCAGAAATGGCGAAGTGTCCTATTCAGTGAATCGAAGTTCAACATCATTGGGAGCGATGGTATTTGCCGTGTACGTCGACCGGTCAAAAAATGCCTCAATTTACATTACTGCCATAAGATCGTAAAGCATGGTGGAGACAATGTAATGGTCTGGGGGTGTTTTTCTGCTAACAGTCTAGGTCCAATACATCGAATTGATGGAATTATGGACCATTTCATGTATAAAAATATCCTGAAAGATGTTATGTTACCTCATGCTGAATGGAATATGCCAATAAATTGGGTTTTTCATCAAGACAGCAATCCCAAACACACTGCAAAAGTAAACAAGCAGTGTTTTCAAGACAACCACCTATCGGTGATGGATTGGCCGCCTCAATCTCCGGATCTCAACCCTATCAAGAACCTGTGGGAGATCTTCAACCGCAGAATTAATTGTGAAGGTGTTCATAATAAAGATCACAGGGTTCCCACACCTCCTTAAAAACCTTAAATAACCTTAAAAAATAAAAGCCTCTTTAAATGTCCTTAAATAACCTTAAAAAAAGTTAAAATTTGACTGCTCTGCTTAATTTCTCCTTATTTTTTTGATTCATCGAAAAATTATTTAAAGTGAATGGATTATACTTGTTAATAAAGAAGATAATATATAGATTTTTGATTGTTTTCAAACCTATTTTTGTTATTATATATATATTAAAATTTATATACATATAAATATATAAAGTAATAATAATTTCTCTGTTATATTTAAAATTTATTAAAAAAAATAAGATTATGTTTTTAATGTAATCATTTTCTCCTTAATTATCTTTACTTTTTCTTTCAAAAAAATGTCGTTCGCGACCAAATCTCCTTAAATATTAGGAAAATATCTCCTTAAATCTCCTTAAAATCCTTCATTTTAGCCTTAGTTTTAATAGTGGGAACCCTGGATCAACTGTTTGAATAAATCCAAAAGGCCTGGGCAGGGATTCTATAAAGTTTCATTGATCACCTGATCGAATCAATGCCTCGAAGATGCAAGGCTGTGATCAACAACAAAGGATTCGCCACGAAATATTGATAGCGAAATACAGCTTGGTCAATATTTTGTGGAGTTGCACTTGTTTTGTCAAGAAGGAAATCAACCTTTTTTAATACTTTTGATTAATTTATTAATTTTTGTGTACAAATAATGAACTTTGTGATGAATAAAACTTGAAGAACGTTGTCTCTAAACAGTTACATAGTTATTTCTCTAAATTGAAAAAATGCAGCACTTTTATATAAAGAAACTAAATTAGCATTATTTGGTTGCACTTGTTTTGTCTGATACTGTGTATATATATATATATATATATATATATATATATATATATATATATATATATATATATATATATATATATATATATAATTTTTAAAGATATACATAAATATAACAAGATATCAATTTATACTCTTAGTTTTATAATTTGATCAAAAACTCATTTATACAAATTTAATAAAAAAATCTATTATCTCAAACAAAGATATTTCTATTCAAGTTTTTAAATAAACGCATTTAAGTGTGACTGTTGTAATTATTCTCATTCGTAATTACCTAACTTTGATAATTATCAAAAGTATGCAGTTGTGCCTGTTGTGCGTCTATGCAGTTCTGCCCCAGAGAACAGTTTTAGAAAGAATATAGTTTCATAGCTTGCCTATTAGGTTATGTTGATATCAAAAATGGTTTTCACTTGATGAAATAATGCTGATAACACATATCTTTAACACTAAAATTAAGTAATGTTTAATCCTCGAAAAAAAGGTCTGGAAAAATATGATGTAAATATAATACTTTTATCAAAATAAACATTATGCACAACTTCTCAGAATCGCAACATGCACTCTTTTTGACATAAGCGAAATGAAGGAAACTGTTTTACCAATGCATCGTATGTTTTTTGCCATATTAGATAACATTGTTCAATGGGAAATGGTAAAAAACAGTTGATTTATTCCCCCATTCCCCCTATTTATGCACAATAACTAAATAGAAACTTGAGTTTGAACAATAGTCTGAGTTCTACATTAATAACTGCTTGATTTAAATATTCTTTTGAGAATATCAAGACAAAGAATTTGTTTAATGATTTTACAATTTTACATTGAATTGTCTTGAATGTGGTGATAGTTGTAAGTAGTATAATTATCTTAAATTTATACGCAATAATTAGCCGCTCTCAATCTAATTAAAACGCTTTTAAATTTTTTGTGTTGTTAAAATATCATCATTACACATGAAAGAATTATTTAGTTTTTCATAAATAAAAATATATTAGCTAGAAATCTGTTCTTGTAAGGTGCTTGTAATACCCTAATTTATCCTTTTTTTACTTGTTGGAACAGTTTTTTTCATTGAACTTGGTTAGGTTTTGAAACTTGGAATTCTACATATAAACCACAGGATGTTTTTTCACACATATTTTTTAAAAATCTATTTATCCATTGGGAGTCTTAAACTATTTTCTTTTAACTGATTCCTAAACCTTGCCTGTATAGAAAATGTATCCAAAAACAATTTTTTGGGTACTAATTTTAAAAATATCCCAAACTTGCTTGGTTGGTTCTAAAAGGGAAAAATTTATTTTCTATTTTAGATGGTTTAATAAAATTTTTGATATGCTAATCAAACACCTCCTTTGCAAAACCAATCATTCCCGTACAAATTGAGTTCAATAATGTTCATTGCTAATGTTTTAGACTATCATTAGTTCTATTGCTGCATTATTATAATTTGTAATATTTTGCTCACTCAAATCAGTTTATTTCTTGTTTCTGAAGAAGTAGATAAAAACAGTAAGTTATTATTTAAAGTGTCATTGAAAGATTGAAATCATTCTCTTGTATATAATTACCATGTTATTTTTATGTGACTTTTGACTATGATTTGAGTTTTCACACTTCTAATTTACGTCTTATCTAATATGTGTCTAATATAATCTAATATAATAATTGTCTTATCAAAGTATCTATAAAAATATCAAGTAGAAAGAGTTACATGCCATACCAATCATTGTTGCCATACCAACTACTTAAAGTATAATTTAGAGCATTTGCACAGTACCCCAGAATTGTTTTGAACTTGTAAACTTCTAAAGGTCTCTTCAAAATCAATCTCAGAAAAAAAGTCTATAATTATAAATAGATAAAGTAATATTTTTATTTTTTTTAAGAAAAAAGAATTTTTATAAATGTAAAACAAAATGCATTTGCTATTTTTTATTTTTACTACTTTGATATTTCTAATGCAATTCATCTATTTCCTTAGATATGTTGTGTAAGTTAATTTTTACTTTATTATTACATTTTTTTTTCATTTCCAAATTTTTTACATTTTTATTACAAATTACATTTTTTAAGTGTTTTTGTTTTTTAAATAGTAACATACCATAATAATATTGCTTAGGTATTAAACTACTGCAAAGCTGTATGATTGCCAGTGTTGTATCATCTGGAGCTGCAATATTGGTAATGTGTGTTGTAGGATTTTCTATCACCAAACATCCAAAGATCACTAGATTGTTAATTTATATTGCAGGAATTTTAACACTAGGGGCAGGTAAAAGATTTTATAAACATAGATGGAAAAAGTAACACAATTTTTTACTCAAGTGAAATTTTACTCAGGTACAAGTAAACATTACTGGTCAAAAAGTTTACTCCAGTTAAAGTAAAAAAGAGCTCATTAAAAATGTACTCATAGTAAAAGTTACCATGTTACTTTTTTGTTTTTTTCAAGTTTTTTTCTAATTTTTTTTTTTATAAGTTCTTTTAAATTTTTTTTTTTTAATTCTAATAAAGAAGATTTAAATTTGAAACTTCAGCCGTGTATATGTGATGTAAATTTACCAGTAAATTTTTATTTATAATTTCCCTGGAAGTTTTTTTAAACTTAAACATTTTGTACAAATTATACTAAATAATATCTGTGATTAGCTGCACCAATCTAGTCACCAGTCCTGCCATTCTGCCTCGAGGTTTTTTTTAATAGAATTTTAATAGACTTTTTTTCCCTTTTTAAAATCAGATCTTTAAACTCTTATTTTCATATTGCAATTTTTATTTATTGGAAATTTTTCCAGTGAATTTTGAATTTAAGAAAGTAAAGGTGAATTTTTGTGTATTAACTTAAGAAAAGCATTTGGGGAATTTGCACCTATTAAATTATTAAGAAAATAATGCTTAAGTGAAAGTAAATGAACACATTTAAATAAATATTTAAAAAGTAGAAAAAAACTACTCAATTAACATGAGCTAAAACTTTAAAACTAAGTGCAAATTTGACATTTAAAAATTTTATGGTAAAGAAGCTTGTTAAATAAGCTAAAAAAGATGAATATAGAATAAGTTTTGACATATAGGTGATAATGTGCATCCTCTTTTTTTACATTTGCTGCAACTCTATTAGCAAGATATTTTTATAGTGACATACTAATCTTTTAATACATTTCTTTGCTATTTTTTATAATTCCAGTGTTAAGTTCAAATAAATTATAAATTGCTTCATGAACAGCTGGAGAATAACAGGTGCTTATTGTCAATAGGTTACGTACAATTCTATCAATCTCTACCTCCAGTCAAACCACCATTGCATTTTAAAGAATGCATTAGGGTTTGTTCAAAAATGACATTGTAACATAAACCAGCTGAATACCTTGCAAATCAACACACTGTGTGGCTACCATCTATAAGTTTTTAGTGCCACCACAGTTTTGCTTTTAAAATCATTTTCATTTTTTGCAAGTATAACTTGAAGCAGTTAACATTGACAGTTTGAATGACCTGATGCAGTTGTAGTACTGCATCAACAACATGTTTTTGATGGAATAAGCAAGCAACTTTTAAATTATTTGAAGATTTAAATACCATATTACATTTATAATACCATTACATGTGAAATGTCCTATAATCATGCGTAGGAATAATATGATCTGCATTACCACCCAATGTATCAAATTCAGCTTTTTTTTTTGTGACACTTTTTGTGATTCTACTAACTGTAGCAGATAACTTAAACAATTTTACTTAGTTGGAGGTTGTTGAAAATCCAATTTTGAAAAGATGATCTACAGGCCATTTATTTCTAAATGATTATCTACTCTAATTCTTAATCACCATTCATCTCTGCCGTTATTCGCACATATCCATTACCATTCTTAATGCCAATTCATAATGGAATAGATGCTATCATGTATCATGGTTGTGAAACATGAGCATTGTATTGTCCTAAACAATATCAAAGTTTATTTATCAATGCTTTAAAAAAATCAAAGGATTTGGAAACAACTGTCAATTGTTTCGAAATCATTAGAGTTTATATTTTATACAACTCATATTTTCTAGTGATGGATATACAGATTTATTGACATATATTTCTCTAATTTTTAAGAACTTTCTGGACAATCAAAGTTTTGTTTGGAGTTCTCCAAACAAAACTTTGATTGACCAGAAAAAACTCCAAACAAAACTTTGATTGACCAGAGAGTTCTCCAAACAAACTTTGATTGACCAGAGAGTTCTCCAAACAAACTTTGATTGATCAGAGAGTTCTCCAAACAAACTTTGATTGACCAGAGAGTTCTCTAAACAAACTTTGATTGACCAGAGAGTTCTTCAAACAAACTTTGATTGACCAGAGAGTTCTCCAAACAAACTTTGATTAACCAGAGAGTTCTCCAAACAAAAAATATGATCATCATGATGTACAAAAAAATTTTATTTCAAAGATTTTGTGGAATAACACAGAGAAATACTAAGCTTTTTATCTTACTGTACACATCTGTGTATACTAGCAGTCTCTTCAAAAATTACAGTTTCTAAAAATTTTCAATTATAGCGACATGTAATGGGCAACTGTATTTTTTTATTACTGTTGATTTTTAAGCCTAAAAATTACTGTTGATTTTTAAGCCTTTGTTTATGCGCAAATTATAATAGATGGCTACCTTCGCTATACCTAGAAAAAGCTCAAAATTTGCAGAAAAGTTAAAGTTTTATAATATTTTTATTTGGATTCAAAGTTATTTTTTTCCAATTTTCTGAATTAAAAATTCTTAATAAAGTTTATGAACTTTACAAAGCTTCACAAATGCTTCAAAAATAAACTAAATTTAAAAATTTTTCTGTATAATTCTTATTATATATTATATAGGAAATTATGTATAATACATAATATATTATACTAAAAGTTGTAGAACTTTTAATATAATATGTATTATGTAGGGTATGATCTATTTTCTAGGGTATGGTTGGTTATACATTTAACATGTAAAATAGATCCCCTATCATACCCTTACTATTTGGGGCTTTTTTCATGATATTTTGACGCTTGAGCACAAGGTAAATATCAATATACATATATACACTCACTCACACACACACACAGACACACACACACACACACACACACACACACACACACACACACACACACACACACACACACACATATATATATATATATATATATATATATATATATATATATATATATATATATATATATATATATATATATATATACATATATATATATATATATATATTTATATATATATACATATATATATATATATATATATATATATATATATATATATATATATATATATATATATATATATATATATATATATATATATATTTATATATACATACACACGCACGTATAGCAAAATTTAATTTTTTTAAGCAATCTTATATGGCTTGACAGTTGCATATGCAGTAGATAACAAAAATCCTGCCAACCTTGTACCAATCTGGGTAGAAGCTGTTAGTGGAAGTCTAGAGCATGCAGTAATGTTTTATGTTTCTTGTGCTGCTGCAGCTTGTTTGTTTTTAGCGCTTATCCACATTGTTGTGCTTTTGTTTATAAATGACGATTATGACACTGATCAACAAGAAACACAATCAACAGAAGAAGACGCAATAAAGTATAAATTTGACAATCCTGAGTTTGATGGTAATTATAATTACAATGTGAATCAGGATAATAGAGAAATTAAGCAACAATTTGAGTTACATGAGCTTCAAAAGTCTCCTAAACTAGTAACAAACCTCAAACAAAAACAACAGTCTTTAGCAGAACCTGTGGAGCTCTCTGGGGTCAGTTCAAAGTACTTAGTTCATAATGGGAAAACCCACCAGCACCCATTCAATGACCGTCAGTACCCATTCAATGACCGCTACACAGTAAGTAGAACATTTTTACCTTTTTAATTTTTTTTTATTTAGCCTAAAAGCTAAAATCAGTTTTTTATTTTATCGGTTAAAATCATTTAAAACTAATTTTGAGATCTAATAATAATTTCAAATGGAACTTGTTATCTGATGAATAAAATTGGTGTTTGATGATTTTAATTTTATCCTAAAAATTATAAACTTTGAAAATTGGTGAAATGTGGAATCAGATCATATTAATCTGGCATTAATTAAAGTCTTGTTTTTTTATTCCTTTTAAATTGTTGTTTATGAACTTTAATAATGCGAAATAAAAATTTATAAATATAATAATAAATAAAAATAATAACTAAAAAGTTATATATGAATATAATAATCTTGGTAATATACTGAAAGATATTTAAAAAATAAGTTTAGTTGTTATCAAGAGTCTCAATATAAAAAACCTTATAAAAAACTTTCAGCATATATATTTTAGTGTAAGTAAAAGGTCCTCAGTTTAATGAACATCACACGACAACCTAACGATCATCTTACGACTACCTAACGAACATCTTACGACAACCTAACGAACATCTTACGACAATCTAAAGAGTCATGTTTAAATTAAAGCATTTAAATATTGATTTTTGAAATTTTAACTGAAACTTTTTTTTTTAATACACTGGAAGCTGTATATAAATTATTATGTTATGTAAATTTTATGTACAGTTTTATGTAAAAGAAACTCAAATTCTAATTGTACGTAGGGAGCTTATTTTAACCGATTTTTGATCGGCAATTTTAATCAACAAAAAAAAAATTTTTTGTCGATCAAGTTTGAAACTTTTTTTTTTTAATAGGTGTTTTAATAAAATCAAAGATTTTATTCAATTTTATTCAAGATACATTCAAAAACATTCAGATTCAAAGCCGACTCCGGTTTTCTTTTCATCCGGTTAAAATTTATTTATGGTTGGGCACTCGTTGCTGCTTTTACCCGTCTCATAATAAGTTAAGGTTTCTATTGAGGTTAGATCCAAATACTTGTTCTTCATTCATACTTAACATTTTGTTTGTTCTTTAGGCTCATTCATACTTAACTTATGTTTTAAAATATTTCATTAGTTAGCTAAATAATAAGCATTCTTATATTTTCGTTTGTCGGTATCAGCATCTAACACAGTTATGCAATTCACTAATATATATTTTGCAAATAAATCTAGGTATAATAAGAATTTAGCTGTTTTTCTTTGGTGCGCGCCTAATTTTATATATGGTTTTATAAATACTGTTTTAAATATCGTTTTTATAAACAAAAAAGATTTTTTTTTAGGATGTCAATGAAGGATACAATCATAGTATTAATGATGTCAATGAAGGATACATCCAAGAACAAAACTTAAAAATAGTTGGTGTAAAAAAAAAACACTCGTTGCCCAATATTTTAAATGAAAACTATAATGCTGAAAATTATCCAAGGCAGTTTATAAACAGTGTCCCCACGCCAGCTGTTTATATGTATAAAAATACAGAAACTGATTTTAAAAATAATGTCTCTTACAAAAAAAACATTGTAACTCAGCAATCTCTTGATTATGAGACATACTTTAATAATCCATACTGAAAGGTAAGTAATACTTCAGATCGCGTCTGCAACAACCCAAGGACAACCCAAATGTTAAAGTAGATTTGTGATAAAAATACGACAAATCAAACTCAATAAAAAAAAACGACAAACCAAACTCGATAAAAATATGACTAACTTATAATAAAAACTGTTAAACATAAAATTTATTTAAAATCAGATGCTAATCAGAGCCTAAACCTTTTTTTAGGTTGTTCAATTTCGAAATTGCACAAAGTAAACTTTGTTGACACCTGGTTGACAACTAGTTTATTTTTTTTATTGCTAAAAACTATATTAGTGTTTTCCTATTTTATTAATCTGAAATTTTGTCCAGAGTAATAATTTTTATACAGTTTTATAGATGTATATACGACGTTTATATTTTTCTTGTGTTTCTATTATAAATTAATTCTAACCTGACTCAAATCCGAGATTAGTGTTATTAATGCAAGGTATGATGAACGAAAGAACACGATAAGAATACTAATATTTTATATATATTTATTCTTAATGGTGCAATAAATAAAATTAATTGTAATATCAATGAATTTTTAGCCAGCGACTATCTAGCCACTTTTTCATTTTTATTGTTCTATTCTCTCTTTTTTTTACAAACAAAAAAAAAAAAGTTTTTAATCTTTTAATACTGAAAAAAATTGAAATTGTGAGGTTGCGCGATTTTTAAAGATAGTAAACTTTAAAATGTATGAAGTAGATAATAAAAAAAATACGCAATAATATATGCTAAAAGTAAAGAAAAAATGTATTTTTTCTTGATCTAAAGCAAAAATGTTTATTAGATTTTTATAAAACTATATTTGACATCAGAATAATTTATAAGCAAATTTGACCTATTTGAGTTAATCTCTTGGAAATCCAAATATCTACATTCACTTCTTAAATTTACGAAATATTCCTTTTTAAACTTTAACTTCCCCTTGCACCATCTTAGTTAAACCTGGTGCATTTATCCTTTTGGTTACATTGTCAATATTCTGTTCATCGTTTTGTATGTGTCCGTAAAGAGCTTTATTAATGCCGCAATCTGGATCTTCAAAAGATGATCTATCTTTATCCAAGCATTAAAAAATAAACGAATTCGTATGCTTTAACTATTAAATTTATTTTCGTAGAAGACTAAAAACCAAGTTTAACTGATTTTGATTTTTAAAAACGAACCGTACTAACGTATGGTTTACACAAATACACTCCATCAAAACCTGAAATTAGTTATTTATATGACAAATTTTTTTGTCAAGCTCAATCTTAATTGATTCATTGGAAAGAAGCATTAAGTTTATAATAAATTAATCACAAAGTCTTTTTAAAAGACTATTATCATTTATTAGTTTTAAAAAATATGTTTTAATATATATATGTATGTATTTGTTTATGTATGTAGTGTGTGTGTGTGTACATATGTATATAAAAACCTCCGAATATATTCAAAATTACAAAAACATTTAAAATGGATTCGTCTTATAGAAATGCTCTTGAAAAAGTATCAAATTTATTTCACACTAATAGTTTTAATTTAAAAATTGAATTTGATCTAGATATTAATTATTTTAATGAGATTAATGGACCTGAATTTGAATGATCTTACTTTTATCCAGATAAAATTAAAAGCATTTTAAAAAGTGATGATTTTAATTATTTTAATGTAATCCACATTAATATGAGAAGTTTAAAAAGAATTTTGATAACTTTTTTAATATGATTTGCGAAACAGAAAATTTTTTTAACGTTATTTGTTTAACTAAATTTAGTTAAACAAATAACGTTAAAAAAATTTTCTGTTTCGATTTAAAATCTTCTTCTGTACACCAAGTTTTATAAAACTTGGTGTACAGAAGAAGATTTTAAATCGAACTCTAATCTCCATCTTCTAGGTTTTAATACAGTGTTTGTAGAGTCTAATGTTAATAGCGTGGAGGAGGAGTACTTTTTTACATAAAAGAAAACATTGCGTATAATATTAGAATATTACTTTTTTACATAAAAGAAAACATTGCGTATAATATTAGACGCGAGATTAGTGTTTCCATAGTCAATAGAAATCCTGGTCTGGAAAAGCTATTGTTTCCATCTTATTTTATAAAAAATGCGTAAAAAGTAGTCACGTGATCAAATCTAGTGCAAAACAAATTTTTAAATGGCGTTTTCTGAAGAACTTTTTACAGGCGAAACGCTTGATTATATAATAAATATTAATGCTGATGATGAATTAAATCCGGATTTGCAAGAATACTTTGATAATGCATTATTAGAGGTAATAAAAATGTTTAAACTTTAATTAGAATGGTTTATTTTGGTGTAAAGGTAATGATTAAGTCAAATTAAAAAAACATTTTTAAAAGTTATTGTATCTTAATATTTACTGTTAATAATCGTACTAAAATAATATATATATATAATAAATGCTATTTTTAATATATATTAGGTAACCGATATATTTTTTTTTTTTCTATTTGCATTCACTCCCAACAAGGCTGAAAGCAACCACTATTAAGTTGGGAGTTACTAGGAGAAAAAAAAGAACAGAGTTATAGAGCAAGGAAACGGTTGACAGAAGACTTAAAAAGTTGAAGGTTGTATGAGTCAGGAAAACATGAAGATGGGAGAGAGTTCCAAAGGATTGAAGTGCGGGGAAAAAAACTAGATGAATAAAAGTTTTTAGAGCATGCAGGGACAGATACAGTAAACGAATGAGACTTAGCTGAATGACGAGTAAAACGAGAATGAATTTTAGTTGATGGAACTAAAGATGATAACTCCTTTGAGCAGTGACCATGATAGTATTTGTAGAAAAGAGAAAGAGATGCAACTTTACGACGATGGGAAAGAGGTTCAAGCTTAGCAGATAGTCCAGGTCCAACAACCTTTACAATGCGTTTTTGGACCTTGTCAAGAAGAGAAAGTGAATCGTTAGAAGAACCAGCCCAAATATGACAACAGTATTCCATACAGGGACGAATAAGAGATTTGTAGAGGTAGAGAATGGAATCAGAAGTAAGAAAATGGCGAGCACGATAAAGAGAAGCAACCTTAGCAGAAGCTAGTTTAGCAATCGATTGTACATATGGTTTCCATGAAAGGTCAGTAGTAAGCGATAATCCAAGAAGACGTAAAGAGGAGGACTCAGTAAGAGGATTGCCATTCATTAATATAGGAATGTTGACCATATTACGGTAGTTGTTTGTAGTAAGCAACTGGGTTTTTTTAGAGTTGAAATTCACAAGCCACTGTGAACCCCAATCTATTACTGAAGTGAGATCAGATTCAAGATCAGCTGCTTGTTCTAGGCGATCGAAAAAAAAAGACTTTTTGTCAAGACAGGAGTATAAAGTTGAGTCATCAGCAAAAAGAGCTACTTTAGATGAAAGGTTGTCAGGAAGATCGTTTATGTAGATAAGAAACAAAACAGGGTCCAGGATGGAACCTTCGGGAACCCCAGAAGTTACTGGAAATAAAGAAGAGTGTTGGCTTTCAAGGATGACTTTAATAAACCGGTTAGAAAGAAATGATTTGATAATCTCAAAAACTTTCCCAGAAACACCATATGAAGCAAGCTTATGGAGAAGACCAGCATGCCAAACTTTGTCGAAAGCTTTAGATATGTCGAGAGCAATAGCCCTAGCCTCACCGCCTCCATCTAATGCACGATAAAATCTTTCAGTTACAGCAGTTAGCAAGTCGGCCGTAGAGCGAGAGGATCGAAAACCGTATTGATTGTCTGACAGTAGTTTATTTGACTCAAGATGAGATGTGAGGAATTTGTTGATCAAAGACTCAAAGACCTTGCTAATAACAGAAAGAAGACTGATCGGACGATAATTGGAGGGGTCAGAATTTTCTCCAGAGTTTTTGAATATTGGAACCACAGATGCCATTTTCCAACAAGCAGGAAAACAAGACTCAGTCAAACACTTGTTAAATAGTTTAGAGAGAATTGAAGAAAGTTTTGGAGAACAATTCTGCAAGACTGTGACAGGAATGTTGTCTGGACCACATGCTGTAGACGAGTTTAATTGAGATATGACTTTTGCAACAGACGCCGGAGTGATTTGAATGTCTAACAATGGGTCAACCTGTTTGACTGGAATGGAAGGAAGAGAATGTCCATAAGATTCAAGAGTGGAATTAGAAGAAAAGTTCTTTGCAAACAGTTCTGCCTTATCCCTGGGAGAGGTAACAAGATCAGTCCCATGAATGAGAGATGGAATGTTAGATCTACCCTTGTTAACAATGCTGTTGAAGATTTTCCAAAAGTCTTTAGAGTCTAATTTCTGCGATAAGATGCGAGATTTAGTGAACTGAGAATAATGGAGTTTAGCATCAGAAAGCACCTTTTTACATCGATTTCTTGCAATAATAAATAGCCGTTTGTTCTCAAGAGAGTTGTTCTTTTGAAATAGATGAAAAAAATGATTACGATTGGATAAAGCAGCCGCACAAGAAGGAGAAAACCATGGAGTAGAATGAGGCTTGACTTGAAACCGACGAAAAGGAATAAAAGCTTCCATTCCAGCCTGAATCCAGGAGATTACGTAGGAGGCGCATTTGTCAGCTGAGAGAGAAAAAACATCAGCCCAAGGACCATCACGAAGAAAATCACAAAAGAAATCCCAGTCAGCTTTAGGGTAGTAGTAGGTGGTGCGATGATAAGGTGAGCCCAAAAAAGAAGTACGAGAAGAAAGATTTATAGAGATCATTGCATGGTCAGAACCACCTAAGGGAGAAAAGGGAGAAACTGAAAATAAGCTAGGGTCAGAGACAAGACATAAGTTAAGGAGTGAAAGTAAATGATTAGGGTTGTCAGGAAAACGAGTCACAAAGTTAACTATCTGAGTAAGAGATTGAGAAACACAGAAGTTAAAGGCTTTAGTGCCAGCAGGATCAGTGGTGTTAGAGCCAAGCCATTCAGTGTGATGAGCATTAAAATCACCAACAACAACAATATTGGCAGAGGAGTAAAGAGAGAGGGCATGGTCAATTTGATCAGAGATAACATCTAAAAGAGTGCAATCATGGGAAGAAGGAGAACGATAAAGAACAAAGAGAAAGGTGATAGAGTGAAGAGGTGCTAGGCGAAAGCACATAAAAGAATGGTCAAAGGATTCGAACCTGATTTCACGACAAATAGGGGAATTAATGCGTATGTATACCCCTAAACCTAGCATGTGACTATTGGAGTCTTTACAAATCAAAGGATAGTACCCATCAACACTGACATCTGAAGAAGGAATTGCAGAATTTAAATTTGTTTCACTGAGTGTAAGCAAGTCTGGTGAATTTTGCAGGAGGTAAGACTCAACTGATGGAAAGTTGCTTTGTAGACCGCGAATATTTGTAAAAGATATATTAAAATATTTAGGTGGTGGGGATGGTTTTTTAGGTTTTAAATTTTTGGTTACTTTGGTCATGATTT